AAAACGGTTTCCTGCTTATCTTAGGGCAGGGGCACCCCTACTCCTCATTCCTCTCTGAGGTGAGCTCAGGTGAACTGAAAGTTTGGTTGGTGACCTTAATTCATTGTACTTAATATGTTTGGTCTCAAGTGACTTGGTGGAACAATTGCAAAAGTGCTGGGAATCTTGAGGGAAAAAGGACGCAAGCCCTTCCAAGCCGGGAGCTTTCCTGAAGAGAGGGCCGTGTCTGAGGTCGGTGCCCGGCTGGGGCCAGCCTGGGCCTAGGCCTCACTAAGTGTGTTTTTGCTTCCCCCTTTGGCTCCCAGGCACGCCTCAGAGGAGAGGGAGGGCGCAGCGGAGCGCAGAGACAGATGTACCGAGCTGCAGCAGCGTTTGCGCACAGCTGTTCAATCATCGCCAGTCATTTCATGAGCCTGCCTGAACGCGCTCAACACCAGTGGGGGCAACATCTCCTGGAACGACTTTGTCAACGAGATGCTGGCTAAAGGCGAGGTGCAGCGGGTGCAGGTGGTACCCGAGAGCGACGTGGTCGAGGTCTACCTGCACCCCGGCGCCGTGGTCTTCGGGCGGCCTGTGAGTCGGGGCGCGGGCGTGGGGACGGCGTGCGGAGGGACCTCGCGCACGTTCCTTTTCCTTTCATGCCCCACCCTCATCTGTTTGGTTGTCTTAAAGCAAGATGTGTGTGTGGCCCGCTAGGTTATTTAACCAGAAGCATGTGCTTAACTACGGACATCTCACCTGGTAAAGCAGCTGCCTTCAGGATGAAATGTCCAGAATCCTGTCTCCTGGGGGAGTTCCCAGCTGCCCTCAGAGCCCAGGAAGTCTGTCTTTGTCCTCTCCTTGGGCTGGTGGCCGTCCCTGGCCGTGCCGAAATCTGAGCCAAACGTGCAAAGCGTAATTAGGGACACAAAGTGTTTGGAGGACAACATGCTCCAGTGGTGTGAGGGGTGCAGACTTGGGATAAAGAAACCCAGTTCATCGAGTTTCAGATGCAGTCGGTGGTTAAACACAGACCCGCTGTTGTGCGCCCCCACTGCCGTGAGCGAGAGCGTCTGTTCCTGGCCTCAGTCGGGGCTGGACTGTGCCGTGCGCCGTCCAGAGCTGCAGTCGGGTCGGTGTTGCGTTTGCGGCTCCTGCTGTGCTCTGCGCAACAACACACGTCAGAGGCAGGGTGCTGAGTTTAAGATGCACACACCCGTCTTTGTTTTCTTAAAATTTTCCTATTAGTGGAAAATGTATCTACTGGAAAGTGTACCTATTGAAATTTTGTTTCTCAAGACGTGTTTGAGAAAACTAGAATTTTTTAGACTTGGAAGTGTAGGTGTCCCTTGACTTAAATGGGGTTATGTCCTGACAAACCCATCGAGAGTTGAAAATATCATAGGTCAAAAGTTTGTATTCAGCCGGGTGTGGTGGCTTAGGCCCATAATCCCAACACTCTGGGAGGCTGAGGTGGGAGGATTGCTTGAGCTCAGGAGTTTAGACCAGCCTGAGCAAGAGCAAGACTTTGTCTCTACCAAAAAGAAAGGAAAAAGAAAACCCAGCCGGTGTTTTGGCATGCCTGTAGTCCCAGCTACCCAGGAGGCCAAGGGAGGAGCATTGCTTAAGCCCAGGGATTGGAGGTTGCGGTGAGCTACTGTGACACCACTGCACTAGTGAGACTCTGTCTCAACAAAAGCTAACAAAGTAACTGAGCACCCCTCCTCACAACCCCCCACCCTTTCATATTAAAAAAAAAAAGTTTATTTTCAACTTTTAGTAGTAGGCTTGTCCAGAGGTAGCCCCATTCAGTTCACAAGAAGTGAACTGAATGCATGTGGATTTTGCACCATTGTGAAGTTGAAAAATCTTAAGGTGGACAGTTGTAAGTTGTTCATCTTCAGTTTCTGAATGGCATCCTCTTCAGAACCCTAGAGCTGTCTGTTCAGCATGTTGCAGGCCCCACTCTCTGTTCACTGTGGCGTCGGCATCCTGTCCTGCTCACTCTCTCCCTGTCCTCTCTGCTTCCGCCCCAGAGGCTGGCCTTGATGTACCGAATGCAGGTCGCAAATATTGACAAATTTGAAGAGAAGCTTCGGGCAGCTGAAGATGAGCTGAACATCGACGGCAAGGACAGGATCCCGGTTTCCTACAAGCGCACGGGATTCTTTGGGAAGTACGCTGGTCGCTCTTGTGGACTCTTGAACTAAACACGGCTTGGCCCTGTGATGTGAGAAGCAAATTGCAAACAAAAGTCTCACACTGTCTTTGCCTACAGTTAGCTAGAGTCCTTCGTGGGAGGGTTGAACAAGTGCAGGGATGAAGGGTGCAGTGCTGGGAAGTTTGGGAGAGAAGTCACCCTTCAGTGTTGGGGAGGAAGGGTTCCAGGAGCTCCCCAGGGTGCCGATACCCCAGCAAGCCCAGGTCCCTGATGTGAGATGTAGCATTTGCATATAACCTGAGAACGTCCTCCCATATACTTTAAATCATTTCTAGATTACTTATAGTGTCTCATACAATGTCAGTAGTTGTTACAGCAATTGTGTAAGGAGTGATGACAAAAAAAATCTGTACACGTTCAGGACAGATTTAATTTTTTTCCCCAAATATTTCCAGTCTGTGTGTGGTTGAGCCCACAGGTGGGGAGGCTGACTGCTTGCAAGTTGTTCAGTCGCTTTCTTTAGCCGTCTGGCATTTCTGAATCGGGCTCATCGCGGGCTTGCTGTCTTCTGCAGACAGGCAGAGCAGAAAGAGTAGAAACAGACATTCTTGCTTCAGTGTTGAGGGAGACAGGTGCCGGGGGGCTGTCGGGTGAGGGCCACAGACCCCGGCAGGCCCTCAGGAGGGAGCACAGTCACCACAATTCTTTCCCGGCTCTGCTGGCACCGCAGTGACCGGTCCCCGTGCAGAGAGAGGTTTGCTGTCGACTCGTAACCCGGTAAGATGCAGAATGCCAGTGACTACAGTGACGTGCCTCTCAGTTCTGCAGCCCAGTGAGTCCTGAAAGCTTGGCACACTTCCGATTTTGTTTTGGGAAAATGATGGACAGGACAGGGAGGTGCGGGGCAGCCTCCTTCATGCGGAGCGCTGAAGTTCTGGGATGGGCTTTGCTGCCGCTAGGCTCATTTGCCGTGCTAATTGAAGCTGATAGCCTGCTGTTGAAAATATGCTGCACATACAGAAACCTGCTCTTGTTGGTCACTGTCACAAGGGTGGTAGGATAAACGGGTGTCCTCAGCTGTTGTACACTTAATCTGATCCCTCGGGAACCTTATGGAGGAGGATGATTGGTGAGAACTGGACGAGAGAACCCATTTTCACAACCATTCTGTTCTGCACATCAGTCTCAGACTTAGGGTTCCTCCTCCTCACCTTCGAACCCTTGTCAGTGGTTGTCCTCGTAAGGTGTGTATGTCAGGCTGCGACTTCTGAGCCCCTGACGGCCTCTGTTTCTCTCGTAGCGCGCTCTATGCCCTGGGGATGACGGCAGTGGGTCTGGCCATCCTGTGGTACGTCTTCCGTCTGGCCGGCATGACGGGGAGGGAAGGCGGATTCAGTGCTTTTGTAAGTCATACGGATCAGACCTTGCTGAGCGTGCGGTCTTGGGGCTTTTCTGTGTTTCCATTTGCTGAAAGCTTTTCCCATAAACCAGAATAAGTGTATAGTGACGATTAACCTCTCACAAAGACCAGCATGAAGCCCGACTGCGGCAGCTCACGGTTCCTTCCGATTGGCTGGCTGAAGGGTGTGTGGTGACCAGCATTGACCAAGGGCCCCTTTCTCCTGACTTCCGGGTGGTTGAGCCAATGAGTTCATAGGGTAGTTTATTCTACGTTTTTCAGTAAGCAACTGGAAATGGTTTTTTCCCCTTGGTTTCTCTACTAGCTAAGAAGCTGAAGAATTTTATAGGTTGTCTTTAAAGGAACCACCTTAATGCTTTAACAATCTTCTGTCGTGGTGACTTTCATTGTGAAGTGCGTTGTCCCTCTACAGCTTCCCTTCTGCTGGGATTTGGGCTAGGCGGTGGACGTGTCTGCTGGGCTGTCCCTGCTCTATCCCTGGGAGGGGCTGGGGCACAGATGCAGAGCGTCACCCTGTTGTTTCCACTCACGCTGGGAGCATATTTCTTTGTCTGGCTAAAGACTGACACTGTTATTTTTAATGGCACCGTGGTATTTCATTGTGGGGCTGTACCATGTTTTACTCAACAAGTGTCATAATTTTTTCCTATTTTTGGTGTATGTAAATAACACCAAGATGAATTCCACACATACACACACACACACACACACACACACGCATCATCTGTGTGTCTGCCCCGTGTGTCTTCCTGAGAGTGGGATCTGGCTGAAGCACGTGCACATGCTAGGAGCTTTTCCTGCCTGCCTGCGGCTCTCCATGAATTTACCCGTTAACATTTCTACCAAGACCCCACAGTGCTGATTATTATCGTATTATTTTTATAGCCAGAAAAAGAAATTAACAGTAGTGGAGAAAATCATGTGGAGTAGGACAGTTTCCTGTCCTCACTGTGGTGTGGGAGGATTTTTTTAAAGCAAATTACTAGATAACTTTCTTGTTAATTAACAATGCAAAGCACACGTTTCCCTGTGTCTGCAGTGTGGCCTGCGAGCCCTGTCTGACTGGAGTGGGTGTGTGGGTCCCCTGGGGTGTGGGGCTCCCCCACGATGGGGCCTGGGGCCGGGAGGGGCGAGGCCCCCGGTCAGCACAGACGCCAGGGGCTGAGCCTCCGGTGCCGGCAGGTCCCCTCGCTCTGCCTGGAGTGTGTATCTGCTTACGATGCTGTGTCTTTCTGTACAGAACCAGCTCAGAATGGCTCGTTTCACCATTGTGGATGGCAAGATGGGCAAAGGAGTCAGCTTCAAAGATGTGGCTGGGATGCATGAAGCCAAACTGGAAGTCTTAGAGTTTGTGGACTATCTCAAGGTAAGAGCCATGTGTTGAGCAGGAAGGAGGTATGTGGGTGGCCACCTTTCTCTCTCAGAAGGAAGCCACCTGGGGGACGGGAATTCGGTCGATTAGGTGTTGAGTGGTGACCTCTCTGCCCCGTGGGGACACCAAGCTTGGCTCTTTGCCTTTTCCGGAACTGCGTGAGCCGTAGCTGCCCTTCTTGCTCCTTCTTAAGCATTCTCTGAACCCGAGTGGTCAGCCTTGCGCTGTCTCCTGCTGTCTAGAGCCCGGAGCGCTTCTTGCAGCTCGGCGCCAAGGTTCCAAAGGGTGCGCTGCTGCTCGGACCCCCCGGCTGTGGGAAGACGCTGCTGGCCAAGGCGGTGGCCACGGAGGCCCAGGTACCCTTCCTGGCGATGGCCGGCCCGGAGTTCGTGGAGGTCATCGGAGGTGGGTGCCGGTGGGGCCATGGACAGGCCCAGCTGACCTTGTCTGGGGTGGCTCTCCTCCGCGTTCCTGTCTTCAGGCGCAGGGGTGTGGAGGAGGGAAGCAGGAGCCTGAGTTAGAGGAGGTGCTGGGTCTGGTGAATGGGGGGTGATGTGCTTTGAAGCCACACGCACTGGTGGCCATGGGAGGCCGGGACTCCTGCAGAGGCCCTGCAGGAGCGACTTACTGGCTTGGGTGCGGGGGTGGGAGGGAGGCCTGTGTAGGTTTTGTCATCCCTGGGGGCAGGTGGGCCTGACCCCAGTGCAGGAAAGGACATGTTTTCCGTGTTCCATCCGTTTCCTGACACTCTCTGTGTCCGCTCAGGCCTTGGCGCTGCTCGAGTGCGGAGCCTCTTCAAGGAGGCGCGGGCCCGGGCCCCCTGCATCGTGTACATCGACGAGATCGACGCCGTGGGCAAGCGGCGCGCCAGTGCCGTGTCCGGCTTCTCCAACACGGAGGAGGAGCAGACGCTCAACCAGCTCCTGGTGGAGATGGACGGTCAGTGCCCTGCGTCCTGCCCTCAGGGGTCGGTGCCCAGCAGTGACCTCCCGTCAGGCTTCTGCAGTTTCTTTTTCTTTTTAATGGAGCTGACCCCACAAAGGTGACACGGAATCGTTTGTCGTTTGATCTGCTTTTGCAAGATCCATTTTATTTGCGTGAATATCATGGTATAATATACATACCATAATTTTACATAATAATGTAAAATTCATTGTATTAACCATTTTTCAGTGTACAGTTCAGTGGCACGAAGCACATTCACTCTGTTGTGCAGCCATCTCCGGAACTTTCTCTCCAACCCAAACAGAAACTCTGTTCTCACTAAACGATAACCTCCCATTTTCCCTCCCCCAAACCCTGTAACCTCTATTCTACTTTTTTAAAAATTTTATATTTTATTTTTTAATTTTTTGTAGAGTAGAGATGAGGTCTTGCTCTGTTGCCCAGGCTGGTCTTGAACTCCTGGCCTCAAGCCATTGTCCCTCCTTGGCCCCCACGTGCTAGGATTACAGGCTTGAGCCATCCCACCCAGCCTCTGTTCTTTCTGTCTCTGGATTTGGCAACTCCGGGACCTCCTATGAGTGGAGTTATACAGTGCTCGTCCTTCTGTGTCTGCCTCTTTCACTGTTGAGAGCAATATCCTCAAGGTTCATCCATGTGGTACCATGTGTCAGAATTTCCTTCCTTTTTAAGGCTGAATAACATCCCATTGTGTGTATGGACCGCCTTTTGTTAATCCATTCACCCATCGACGGACACTGAGGCCATTGTGAGTCATGCCTCTGTGAACATGCATAGACATTTCTTGTAGAGTTCTGCTTTGTAAGATCCATTCTTAGCTTTTCTTTAATCAGAATTCTAGTTACATTGTAGATATTGTGGATTATGGAGACACTTTTATTTCAAAGTAGTTTTGGTTCCAATAGAACATCTATTGTCTGTTTTCCTCTTTTAAATGTTGCCTACTGTTTGGAAGAGTCAGCATATATACAGTAGAGTTTTGATTATACATGACTAAGGGTGAAACTTCATTTCAGCCTTTGTTTTGAAATAATTTTGGACTTACAGAAGCATTGCAGAAGCAGCCGAAGTGTTCCTTGATAGCTTCCCCTGGGCTCCCACAGGCTGTGGTGAGGTGAACGCTGTTCTCTGGTCAGGACCCGGCGGTGGTGTTGGCGACTGGGCTTCCTCCACCCCCTGCATTTTGTCTCCTCCACTCACTCATTTCTCGGTCTTTGTCGTTGTGACCATGGTGCTCGTCCATGAGGAGCATCCTCTCTGTGAGGCTGTGGTGTGTCCTCGGTCAGAGGGAGCCGTGCATTCTGCAGAAACAGCCATGCCGAGACGTCTGTGTGTCTCGTCCACGGGTGGGCTCTGCCAAGGGGCTGGGCCTTCCCCGGTGCTCAGACCCACTGTCTGCCACTCGGCGCCGTGAACCCAGAGGGACTGATGCCTGGGGTGGGGGTAGGGGGTGTTCTGTAAGGTCTGTGAGCTGTGCTGGCTTAAAGCCAAAGGGAGATTCCCGGTGACATCAGGGAAAAGCTGCATTACTCAGGTGTCCTGAAAGAACGGGTTGCATCTGGAGCTGCCTGCCCCCACTTCCTGTCTCGGTAGTCCAGCCGTTCATCAACACATTTGTTCAGGAACGATGGCATGAGCTACTGAGATCTGAACAGCCACCTTGCACATGTAGGGGAGTAAAGTTTTCAGAGCGCTGAGTGTCCTCAGAGACACAGGCGGTTCAGGTGCTGGTGTGTCCCTGTCAGGAGACACCCACTCGAAGATGGGCCTTCTGCGGACCCTCCAAGAGGACCCTCCAGGCAAGGCTCTGGGCTGTCAGGAATTCTGGCTGTGCACTCACACCCTCTCCTGAGGGACTGTGGCTGTGCCTTAGCTCTGCCCGGCAACAAAGGAGCTGGACCAGCTGTTGAAACGGTGGCTATTAATACATCTAAAAGGCCGGGCGCGGTGGCTCACGCCTGTAATCCTAGCTCTCTGGGAGGCCGAGGCGGGCGGATCGTTTGAGTTCAGGAGTTCAAAACCAACCTGAGCAAGAGCAAGACCCTGTCTCTACTATAAATAGAAAGAAATTAATTGGCCAACTAATATATATAGAAAAAATTAGCCGGGCATGGTGGTGCATGCCTGTAGTCCCAGCTACTCGAGAGGCTGAGGCAGTAGGATCGCTTGAGCCCAGGAGTTTGAGGTTGCTGTGAGCTAGGCTGATACCACGGCACTCAGTCTAGCCTGGGCAACAAAGTGAGACTCTGTCTCAAAAAAAAAAAAAAATACATCTAAAAAAGATAGCTGATGGAGTCTTCAACCATATTGTATTGGTTTTCTTTGAGCATCTTTACATCATCTCTTAGTGGCTTCGACTGTTGCTTTTGGAAGTTACCCAAGGACAAGCGGGTAGTTTTGGAGTCCTGATAAGATCTCACCTTGGGCTCTGGCTACGAGGGTCTTGTGACCATTGGCAAGTTGAGTGAGTGGCGGCAGCATGGCGTAGTGCGCTGACGTTTACAGACGGTGCTCGTCGGGAACCCTGGGCTTATGAGACGTGCCCCAGTGGAATACCCCACAGTGTTTCAAAGCAGCCGCCTGGGCCGTGTGGAGCAGGAGCGGCATAGAAAAGTCCAGCACCGCACACCAGCCACGTTCTGCAGTCACGAGGGCCAGGTTGCACCTGTAGCTTCTGGTTGTTTCTTTAGGGAATGAATAACTTTTTGTGATGTTCGTGGACAAGAGGTGACCGTAGCCTTTTGAAAGTCATCAGATGACCAGTCCGTCAGCGACTAGTCCTTAAGCCTCACTGAGGATGAAAGTGGGGTTTCCACATGTGTCTTGGGCTCCTATGGCTGCTCCGTGAGAGCTGCACACACAGGCACATCCATGGACGTGCAGAAGAACGCTTTGTGGCTGCACGCCAGGCCCCTCGAGGCCTGCTGTGGTTTGTGAAGTGGGGGTGGGTGAGGTTAAGCCACACACCGCCACCCCGAGATGCTGTGCTCCTGTGTGCTGAGCAGACGCCGCTGCAGGTGACTGCGAAGGAAACACAGGGGAGACCTTCCCACGTGGCTCCTACTTCCCTGAACACACGGGGCCCTGGGAGAGGAGCCCGGGCTCTGTGCTCGTGTTACTTTCTGCACTGAAAATAGAGGCCACCTTCTTGGGGAGACTTGAGCCCACCAGGAAGCATTTATCCAATGACACTTTTTTCGGAGCCGCATCTCTCTCTGTCACTCCAAAAATAGCTGCTTCCGGCCCTGGGTCTGCTCAGGCTTGAGAATCTGCTCACTGAGGGCCTCTTGTTGAGCTGGGCCGGCACCAAACAAGTCCCTTTATGCAGAGACACAGTTGCGCATTCTTAGCCCCTCAGATGTGTCTTTGTTGCTTCCTCGGGGCGGAGCGCGCTCTGTTCATTGTGCGGAGGATGGAGCGGATGCTGTGTCCGCCGTGGGAAAACTCACCAAGGCGGAGAAAAAGCCCGGCATTGTGCGTCGGGCGTCAGCCCCGGCGCGTCATCCCTGTGGGACGCCAGACCCCCGTGGGAAGGGCCCAGTCCAGCCCGGCTCCCTGTCCGCAGGGTCATCGGCAGAACGGGGGCTTTGCTCAGGAAGGTCCCCCTGCGACGGACATCCCAGTCCCAGCTCCCGAGTCATGAAACAGCCATCGCGTGATGTGAACCCTGACAGTGTACGAGGTTTTCGCAGAGTCATCCCTGAACAGTGGAAGTCAAACATGAGAAAGGCTGTTGTGAACGTTTCATGCTGGCACTCTTTTTTCTTTAATTTTACTTTTACTCAGTTGTGTTTGCCGTGGCTTTCTCGTGTCCAGGCAGCCCAGCGTGGGGGGGTGCAGAGTGACACCTTGGGAGCCCAGGCCCTGGTTCCCTGGTGGCCCCGGCAGCTCCAGTGTGTGCCGGGCTTGAGCACACTGGCGTGCACTGGTGGTTCTCGCTGTGTTCTCCAGACCAGCAGCTCTGGCCTCTGCTGGGAGCTGCTTTCTGGACCCACCCGGGCCTGGGGTCAGAAGTGTGCGCTCTGGCGGGAACAGCTGCCCTGGGTGGGGTTTGCTGCCATCTGGTGCTTGGCACAGTGAGAAACACCAGCACCTCCCGCCCCCTTCGGGTAGGGGTGGCTTCTCCCATCTGTTCCACGTTGAAGGCCTGTTGGTAAAACATCGATGAGAGCACTGGGGGAGCCTCTACCAGTCCTAGGCCAGGGCAGACAGTCGGGGCTGACAGACGGGCTGTGGACTGGGGCTCAGGGTTTGGGTGCGAGAGGGAGTGCGCTGGCACAGTGTTTCTGTTTGGAGTGGCCCCCGGAGCACTCTGTCGTGGCCCACACACTGAAGCTGCAGCTGCCACCCTCTGTCCTCTCAGGTGGCACGGGTGGTGTGAGGCTTTCACTGCCAGCTACCCAGCGGGTCTCGGGCCCTGGGGACGAGACGGGGGTTGACGTCTGGGGTTTTGTTTGTTTTTTTTGAGACAGAGTCTCACTCTGTCACCCAGAGTTGAGTGCAGTGGCGTCAGCCTCACTCACAGCAGCCTCAAACTCCTGGGCTCAAGTGATCCTCCTGCCTTAGCCTCCTGAGTAGCTGGGACTACAGGCGTCCCCGGCTAACTTTCCTATTTTTGGTGGAAATGGGGTTCTTAATCGCATCTGATACCCAGTTAGGCTCAGGTTCCCCTGGTTGCTTCACACATGACTTTTTGCAGCTGATTTATTAAAATCAGTGTCCGGTGTTAGTTTCTGAACTCACTGTAGCATTCTCAGGTGAGAAATGGGCCTGACACCCAGGCCCTAAGACCAAGTGTCAGAGTGTTGCAGTGCCAAGTAGCAACAACCCTGGCCCGGGGAGAGGGACAGGTGAGGGCAGCTCCCAGTGGCACCATTGGACGCCCGATTCCCCCAGAGATGTGGACGGTTCTGCCTCAGCAGACACCTGGAGGAGGCGTCGCTGTTTTCAGTTGCCGAAACAGGGACCACTGTTCTTCCTGGTGGTTTGGGTTGGAAGCTCCCAAGGAAGTCAGGCCACTGCCCTGGCCCAGCAGGACATGCGTGCTCTTTTCTCACTGGGCCTCAGGAGCCTCTCCTTGCCATGTGGTGACAGGGTAGCGCACAGGGGAGAGCCCTGTGTCAGGGATGCCCCCTAAGGCCACCGTGTCTGCTCTGTACCCTCAGGCATGGGCACCACGGACCACGTCATCGTCCTGGCGTCCACCAATCGAGCCGACATTTTGGACAACGCTCTGATGCGGCCAGGCCGTCTCGACCGACATGTCTTCATTGACCTTCCCACCCTGCAGGTCAGAGCCGGGGCTGGGTGGAGTTTCCCCCAGGAGCATGAAGGGGTCGGGACTGGCCAGCGTGGCCCGGGCATGGGGCCTGCCAGGGCCGGCCTTGCTCCAGTTGTGTGGGTGTCTGGCCCTGTGGGACACGGTCGTGGCGTGACGCCTGCTGCAGGCCCCCCCGGTGCTGCCCGTCCACGTTCTTGGACTCTTTGCCCTTTATTGGCTTTGCTACTTGTTCACCCACTGCTGTTTTTTCATTTGTCCTTAAATATGTGGGGTTGAGCGTGCCGACCGTGATTGAGTTTTATGGCAAATTCTTTGAAACCAAATCTAGTAGGAAAAATAGTAAGAAATCCCTTTCCTCTTGCATGGTGTCTGACCCTGTGTATCTGGAGCCTGTGGACGGCCGCAGAACCTGCGTCCTAACGCTCGAGTATTTGCTGGGCTGTGGGCTGTGGGCTGTGCAGCTGCCCTGGAAGTAGGGTGGGTAAAAGGCCCCTGGCCCGGGGCCTCTCACCCCGCATTCTCTTCTGTCTCAGGCCTCTGGCCGTGCGTCCCACCTTCTGGCCAAAGGGCCTTCTCTGTGGCCCTGAGGGAGCAGGAATTCAACTCGTGCAGGAAGGGGTAAAAGCGAGGACCCGAGGGCGGCTGGTTGGTGCTGGCCCGGCTTCTATGGAGTGGAGAGTGAGATGGGAGCAGGAGCCCTTCCCTCTGAGACTCCCGGCGCCGCATCTCTGGGAGGCTCGCTGTCTTGTTTGACCACGTAGGAGGCGTTTCACGTTGAGATCTAGAATATGCAGTGTGCACGGGAATCAGTTTGCAGAGTAAACTGTGTGCGATGTGCTTCATTTTCATTCGTTCATTTGTTCATTTTCATTTTTAACACACTGCTTGCACCTCTCTGAATTGGTTTCCCCAGCCATGGGTCATGACTGATGGTGAGGAACCGTCATTTAAGAATTCAGGTCTCGGCCGGGTGCGGTGGCTCACACCTGTAATCCTAGCACTCTGGGAAGCCTTGGGAGGATTGCTTAAGCTCAGAAGTTCGAGACCAGCCTGAGCAAGAGCGAGACCCCATCTCTACTAAAAATAGAAAGAAATTATCTGGACAACTAAAAATATATAGAAAAAATTAGCCAGGCATGGTGGTGCATGCCTGAAGTCTCAGCTACTCAGGAGGCTGAGGCAGGGGATCACTTGAGCCCAGGAGTTTGAGGTTGCTGTGAGCTGGGCTGATGCCACGGTACTCTATCCCGGGCAACAGGGTGAGACTGTCTCAAAAAAAACCCCAAAAACTCAGGTCTCATCTGCGCAGTGGACACGCGGGGTCGCCTGCTCTCTTTGCACAGACATGTGCCTACTACACCTTCCACGTGAGCCCCGTTCCAGGCCAACCCTGCGTCCTCTTCCCTCTTTCCGGCAGGAGAGGCGTGAGATTTTCGAGCAGCACCTGAAGAGCCTGAAGCTGACCCAGGCCAGCACCTACTACTCCCAGCGTCTGGCGGAGCTGACGCCTGGATTCAGCGGTATGTGTTTGACCTGCAGCCTGTGCAGCGCCAGCTTGAGGGAAGGCAGTCTCACCTGCAGGCGGGTACGAGGCCCTCCCATGGGGTAGCGCTGCCCCTCGTCTCGGGGGTGGCCTGGTCAGTGCGAGCTGGTGGGACCAGACTGCACGGGGGCTGCAGGAGAGCGACAAGAGGCACAGACACTGCTGCGTCCTCTCGGTGCTGGGAAACCACGGCGGTTCTGTGGCCTGTGTTGACTGCAGGGACAGCAGTGGTGATGTCTGCGGCCCCAGCAGCGGCCCCCACCGTGTCCCAGTGGCTCTGCTTTCTGGGCATCGTGTGCCATCTGCCCACATGGTGTGGAGTGTCACTCGGGGCCTCCCCCATTCAGACCAGGGCTCCTGCACCTGCACCAGCCCTCCCCTACCCCTGCCCGTCTCAGCCTCGAGTCAGTAAAAAGACATCACCAGTTAAGAGCTGATCTGTAGCAGTCCAGTTAAAGTAACGTAAAATAAATCCCTTCTATTACGATATGTATTCTCTTTTGATTGTTTTTTAAGGCCTTTAGCTAGAATCTAGTGGCTGTTAGAGGCCCTTTAATCTCTCACCTGTCAACGCTCACGTGAAATGTGAGCCGGAAGGAAACCCGAGAGAGTGTAGAAGCGTGCTGCGCACTGTCACCTGCCAGCACGCTTGGGCAGGGCAGACCTCGGCAGCTCATGTCCACGATGGCTTCAGTCTGACACTGTGCAAGGAGCTGCCACCCGCCTCCCACTTCCCAGTGACTTTTTCTTTTTTCAGTTTTTTTTATTCATCAGCTATTATTGGGGTACAGATTTTTTTTTTTTGAGACAGCGTCTCGCTTTGTTCCCAGGCTAGAGTGAGTGCCGTGGCGTCAGCCTAGCTCACAGCAACCTCAAACTCCTGGGCTCGAGTGATCCTTCTGCCTCAGCCCCAGGTAGCTGGGACTACAGGCATGCGCCACCATGCCGGCTAATTTTTATATTATATATCAGTTGCCAATTAATTATTTCTATTTATAGTAGAGACGGGTCGTCGCTCTTGCTCAGGCTGGTTTCGAACTCCTGACCTGAGCAATCCGCGCCGCCTCGCTCCAAGAGCTAGGATTACAGGCGTGAGCCACACGCGCCGGCTCAGATTTTAAGGTTTCAATAAATGCCCTTTCCCCCTCCCCCCACAAGTCTGAGTTTCAGCATGACCATCCAGATGGTGCACACCTCACTCATTATGTATGTATATACCCGCCCCTCCCCCTGCCCAATACCCTTACTTATACTAGTGATAGGCTACTCAGTTAATACCAGTTTGCGGTGAATGTATGTGTGCTGTTTTTTCCATTCTTGGATACTTCACTTAGTAGTATGGGTTCCAGCTCTAACCAGGAAAATATAAGATGTTCTATCCCAGTGACTTTGGTTTTTTGAGATAGGGGTCTCACTACACTGTCCAGGCTGGCCCCAAATTCCTCTCGCCTCAGTCTCCTGAGAAGCTGGGATGACAGGCTCAGCCTACCACACCCGGCTAAATTTTGTATTTTTTATAAAGATGGGCTCTTGCTCAGGTTGGTCTCAAACTCCCTGCCTCAAGCAATCCTCCTGCCTCAGCCTCCCAGAGTGCTGGGATTACAGGCGTGAGCCACCACACTCGGTCACTTTCATTCCTTTTTTTTTTTTTTGGAGACAGAGTCTCACTTGTTGCCCAGGCTAGAGTGAGTGCTGTGGGTCAGCCTACTCACAGCAACCTCAAACCCTGGGCTCAAGTAATCCTTCTGCCTCAGCCTCCCGAGTACCTGGGACTACAGGCATGTGGCCACCATGCCTGGCTAATTTAATTATATATTAGTTGGCCAATAATTTCTTTCTATTTATAGTAGAGACCGGGTCGTCGCTCTTGCCTCAGGCTGTGTTCGAACTCCTGACCTCGAGCAATCCTGCTCGCCTGCCTCCCAAAGGTGCTAGTTGATAGCGTGATGCACGCTGCCGGGCCACTTTCCTTCTTCTTAAATCCTGATAGCACTAACACCTGCCCTGTTTTCCCCCACCCCATCTGTCTTTGTGCTGACAGGTGCTGATATCGCCAACATCTGTAACGAGGCCGCGCTGCATGCCGCGAGGGAGGGGCACACGTCTATCCACACCTTCAACTTCGAGTACGCCGTGGAGCGCGTCATTGCCGGTATGAAGACTGTGCCCCATTTGTTGAGGCCTTGCTCTCAGCAGGGCTTGAACCCCAGAAATACCCACTCAGAGACCAGTCCCCCAAATTAACATTAGAGGGGAGGCAGATGGAACCCGATATAGGCCTGGACGTGGTATGATTTAGGTAAGTGGCAAGGAATTCCCAGACAGGAGGGAAAATATGTAAAGTATTTCGGTGTTCTGTAAGTCAGACCTTTACAACTTACTTTTGCTTGGCTTGAGAGACTGCAGATGTACCTAAGAGCTCACACACTCATCACGTAGAAATATCAATGTGCTTGGAAAGCCCAGGTGCGTTGGTGCTCAGGCCAGCAGCTATCCCTGTGGTGGCTGAGAGCCGACCACCAACTGGACAGATGCCCAGGGCTGCACTCCTAGGTAGGTTGAGGCTGCACCACCCACAGACCTGCAGAAATGTCTGTGCCGTCAAGAGACAGCGCAGAGAAGTGTGAGTCTGTGGTGTGACCTCAGTCTCTGCTGAAACCATCACCCTAGCTGTTTGCAAGCCCATTAAAGAAAATACTAACAGGACACTGTCTCTCAGTGTGTGGGGGTCCTTCCTCACTTGTGGTGTGGACTCTCTGAGTGTTGGGCAAGTCTTCCCCCAGCAGGCAGTGAGGGAGCTGGACCTGTGTCCCCCCAGCGTCTCCAGGGAAACCCAGCCTAGACGGGCCCCTGGCCCTTCAGATGAAGGCACAAGTTCAATACACCACTGCAGTAGGAAGCAAGTGCAGAGATTTATTACTTGCAGGTGCTGAGCAGGGGGCTGTGAGTCGGGAGGCATCGTCTGACCCAGGCCATGTGAGGAGAAGAGAAGAGGATGGGGGAGGGGAGACCAGCAGGCGGCTGTGCAGAGAGGACCTTGCTGGGCACAGGTGAGAGCAGCCCGTGTGCCTCAGCCCATCCCTGGCTTGCTTTCAGGGACTGCCAAAAAGAGCAAGATCTTGTCCAAGGAAGAGCAGAAGGTGGTCGCGTTCCACGAGTCGGGCCACGCCCTGGTGGGCTGGCTGCTGGAGCACACGGAGGCCGTGATGAAGGTGGGTCCTGGGCAGAGCCGCTCTGGGAACGCCTTTGGGTGGGTGCTTGGGGAGTGACAGGTCTCCTGGGACGGCGGGCGGAAGCCAGGAGGCAGGAGTAGACTGCATGTCTCTGGCTGAGCCCGTGGCCTCAGTTACCGGACTGACTCCTGAAAAGTCACAGCCGACCTGTGAGTGGGGAATTGCATGTGTGCTGTCTGCTCACACGTGACTCTGGAACACTGAGGAGTGAGCTGAGAACACATTTTCAAAATACCGCTCGTGTTGACGATTGTTAACTGAAAATCTGTTCTTATCAAGTGGAATTAAATAATACTATAAAGAGCTTCTGAAAAACATGTGGATCCACAACGTGAGGATCCCAAGTGACTGCTGAGGAAGATGTCACTGTTTGGGATGTGGCACCGCATTTATGCTGGAGCCCATGCAGGTGGCTGGTTTGAGGCTCACCCTGAGAAGCAGCCGCACTGTGTTCCCACCCTCAGTGCACACTTGCTGTAGACATGCACACACGGCATAGCCATGGTTCCCACCCTCTGTGCACACTCACTGCAGACGTGCACACGGCATAGCCATAGTCCCCACCCTCTGTGCACACTCACTGCAGGCGTGCACACGGCATAGCCATGGTTCCCACCTTCTGTGCACACTCACTGCAGACGTGCACATGGCATAGCCATGGTTCCCACCCTCTGTGCACACTCACTGCAGACATGCACACGGCATAGCCATGGTTCCCACCCTCTGTGCACACTCACTGCAGATGTGCACACGGCATAGCCATGGTTCTCACCCTCTGTGCACACTCGCTGCAGACGTGCACACGGCATAGCCATGGTTCCCACCCTCTGTGCACACTCACTGCAGACATGCACACAGCATAGCCACGGTTCCCACCTTCAGTGCACACTCACTGTAGACATGCACACGGCATAGCCATGGTTCTCACCCTCTGTGCACACTCACTGCAGACATGCACACGGCATAGCCATGGTCCCCACTCTCTGTGCACACTCGCTGCAGACATGCACACAGCATAGCCATGGTTCTCACCCTCTGTGCACACTCACTGCAGACATGCACACAGCATAGCCATGGTCCCCACTCTCTGTGCACACTCGCTGCGGACATGCACACAGCATAGCCATGGTTCTCACCCTCTGTACACACTCACTGCAGACGTGCACATAGCATAGCCATGGTCCCCACCCTCAGTGCACACTCACTACAGACGTGCACACGGCATCGCAGTTGGCCATCTTGGAATGTCAGTGTCCATTGCTGGTTTTCAGAGGTGTCAGATGCTTGCTTGGGCATCCTGTTTATAGCACATTGAAAAACTCAGCAATGAAGATAAATACATTAACAGATTATCTCAAATAAATTGATGCAGAAAAATCCATGATGAACAAAATATCACAATTTTAAATTTCCTGTCACTCAGAATTTTCACTTTACTTGATGGGCAGATAAAAGCCAGGCGCAGTGGCTCACGCCTGTGATCCCAGCACTCTGGAAGCCCAAGGCGGAAGGATTGCTTGAGTTCAGGAGATTGAGACCAGCTTGAGCAAGAGCAAGATCCCATCTCTTCTAAAAACAGAAGAAATTAGCCGGTCATCATGGTTTGCGCCTGTAGTCCCAGCTACTTTGGGGGCCTGAGGCAGGAGAATCGCTTGAGCCCAGGAGTTGGAGGTTGCTGTGAGCTAGGGTGATGCCACTGTACTCTAACCTGGGCAACAGAGTGAGACTGTCTCAAAAAAAAATCAGATAAATTAGTAATAATGAAAAAAATATTAAGGCTTGATGTTCTGCTAGGGAAAGATTGTGAAGTTACTGTTACCAATTTGGTAACATCATCGCTATAGTTATTCTAGTTTTTTAATGGTAATTTAATTTAGTTTGAGATTTAAAATTAAGCTTCCTCTTGGGATTCTCAGGGGCCTTTGGCATGGTCACCTTGCTGCCGTGACTCTCAAACGGCAGTGGTACCAACAGCGGGCCTGCCCCTGGTAGGGTCTTCCTCTGTCCTCGTGTGGTGGGGCTCCCTGTTAGGGCAGCGCCCCTCTTCTTGAGGCAGAAGTGAGGACAGTCTGTTTCCTCTCGTGCATCCTGGGGTTTCTGTAGTGGCAGGCAGGAGTGCGGGAGGTTTGTGCAGACTGGCCGTTAGGGTGAGCTTTGTCCTCATGCCTCTTGCTTGTCTCCTACTAAGAGGCCTGTCTCTTGACTTGTATACCTAGTATTTTATGAGGAAGACACACCCTGACAGTGTGGGTACTGGTGACTCTGGCCAGGATCCCCTGTGTTCCTACGAGCCGTCGTCTTTCGAGTCAGGATCCTCTTTTGTTATAGACGTGCCACGGTGCAGACTGGCTTCCCTGCTTTTCCAGCAGAGACCCTCCGACGACAAGTTCATCTTGCATTGCGCCCGCTTCCTCCCTGCCCGCATCCCGCCTCGCTGACCTGCCGTCTCCGTGTTCCGTAGGTCTCCATCGCACCGCGGACCAACGCCGCTCTGGGCTTCTCGCAGATGCTCCCCAGAGACCAGTATCTCTTCACCAGGGAGCAGCTGTTCGAGCGGATGTGCATGGCCCTGGGTGGCCGCGCCTCGGAGGCCATCTCCTTCAACAAGGTCACGTCCGGTGAGGAGCTGGCCCCATCGTCCCTCTGTCCCCACCTGTGAGGGGGACATCAGGTGAAGGAATTAACGTA